GGGGGGGGGGGGGGTACTCCCAGAAAAATCAGGTGGTGATGTGAGACTCGATTCCCAAAACCCTTACCCTCAGTTTAAGACTAAATCTATGATTTTCCCTACCCTATTTATGACCAGGCCAAAAATTTGATACCCTGTTTGAGACCAAAATGGCCGAGATCGATACCCTATTTCCCCCCCCCCCCCCCCCGCCCGGGACCATATTCTTATCCCACATATACTAAGGTAACCATTATTTAACTTTTCAGTACTTAATATCATTAACTTACATTAAGTTATTATATGTTTGTTTTTATATAATAATCAAATGAATGCACACGCTCTGGTTGGTCAATCAGCTATGGTTCATTGTGCCAGTAAACTCATGGAAATTTTGCGTGTCTTCTGAGTTATTATATAAAAGCAATAGACCGCAAGTTTCTATGGTTTATAGGCATGATAAACCACTTGGGATGTTGGAAGAACACTCGAAGAATTCGTAAATCACTCGACAGCAGCTCGTGATTTAAAAATTCTTCTCGTGTTCTTCCGACATCCCGCGTGGTTTATCAGCCTATAAAGCATAAAAACTTGTGGTCTATTGCTTAAGTAGCTGATCTTCGAAAGATCGCGTAATTCAATCACGTTAAATGTAACAAATAAACTGCTAGTCACTCTGGCAAGTTGCTTTAAATAAATAATTTCATAGTGAGTGAATTAGTGTACTTGTCTGCTTTTGAGAGTCGGTTACTATTGGAATTTCAATTCAACTCTTGATGCCTTCAGTAGAATCAGACGTCACTGTTCTCGCGCCAGGTCCTACTCCGCTAGAGGAAAGTCTACATAAGATCCCGTACTGGGAGATGAGTGTACAGATGATGGAAAACTCTGATTCCGTCCACAATACGCCGGAGGAATTTGAAAACGGAGGTTTCACTCTGAGAACACATCAAATGTTTTCCGTCCACACTACGCCGGAAGAATTTGAAAACGGAGGTTTCACTCTGAAAACACATCAAATGTTTTCCGTCCTCACTACGACGGAGAAATTTGAAAACGCAACAATCGTCCATCATGTTGGATTTGTGTTTGAGCAAAACTCGGTCAAATATCACATGATTATCGTGTCGTTTTCGTTTTCGAAAAGCTCCCTTATAAAATGTTTTCAAATTCCTTCGGGTTGAAGGGCGTTTTTGAAAAGCTCCGTTTTCGTGACGGATTAGCATACTGCGGACGCTGTCCCTATCTTTGATTTGTTCGATGTTACTCGCTTTTGAAGATTCGCGCGCAAATAATAACCAATCAGAGGTTTACGTTACACAGTTCTCTATAAAATTACATCATCAAAAGGGAATTTTTCGAGTTCAGTCTAGGATTATTCTCGACAGCAGAAATGACCTCTCTTATACCATAACAATTTAGCGTCACTTCATTGTATCCGAAGTGGGGCTCCTATAAATTTTAGGAGTGACGCGTTATTCGTTTGAAGTGGAGGAATCACTTCCTTCCGTTTTGATTGTTCGATTTTTTTTCGAACAAAAATATCAATCTTTTAGGAGCTGAGGGCGAGCAAATTAAATTAAATTGTTATAATAAAGAAACAAAGGAATCAAGGTATAATTTATCTTAAACTAAAATCTTTTAAATTCCTTCGGAGAACTTTTAGTATCAAAGGATTAGTCGTGCAAACCTCAGTTTGAGAATCGAGAAATATGTTTTTCCAACTAGCCTGTTATGTTAATGGTACATATTCAGGCCCGGACGACGGTTTTCTTCAAGGAGAGACTTGTTTCGCTTTCATCGACATCAAACATTGAAGATTCTCTCAATTTCACACCAAGCGCAAAGCTGATATGCGATGTTGTCTTAATTGATCTACAACGAGGTAAAACGCTAACTTTATTGTTTAGGTTATCCCTTTTGACTTCACCGAACACCGACAAAAAAAAAAGAGAACAGATAAAAGATGTCGAAGATGTTGCCTTTGCTATATTCTATAAACAAATTTTACAATGGGATCCGAAATTTTCGCTCTGTTCAAATTTTCAGCGTATAACAGCAATTTTTTGTGTCGCTATGTGCGGCTGTTAAATCTCAGAGTTTCATCTTACCCGGCTACAGGTTGACAATAGATTTTATAAACGTTCAGTTTAATAAAGTGTATTATCGTTTGTCTCACGATGTAGTCACATCTCAAGTGACTACATCGTGAGACAAACGATAATACACTTTATTATTGCATCTACCACGATGAATAACAACAACCTTTTCCTCGACAACGTTCAGTTTCCTTTCTTAAAAGCAGTTTAAGGTCGCCATAACGATTAACATAACATTTCTGTGTAGGTTTTATGTTAGCAAGGCAGTTCGGCGGCATGTTATTGATCACCTTAATTGAATTTTAAAAACACGTGTAAAATTCTCTTCAATGCTGAAGCATCACACGTTTTTAAACGCACACAAGCATTTGGAAAATAACGTCTGAATTGTCGGAAGATTATCATAGATTTAATGAATTATAATGAGATAACAACACTATTGTTTCATTGAGCTGTGTAAAAAAAAAATCTGCGACTCTTATGTCCATGCCGACGAAGTCGCACCTCCGCCCACTTGAGAAATTTTGCATAATAGGGATCCTTGCCTTTGTTTGAATGCTTTGTTAATGAGTTTATTTGTTTTTACCAGCCCGATATTCTAAAAGAACACAGGAGCTTCGGTATTCTATTGATCTTAACTCACACAGGCTGTTCCGAGTTCTTGTAAGCACCGACTATGAAATCGTGCACGGTATTTTCGTTTATTCTTGCAGTTTTGGTGAATGAAGGATCCTGCAGAACCAGGTAAGTTGCAAATTTTGATTTGAAGATTAATTCAAGCGATTTTTCAAGCGTGATTGACGCGACCAACCGAGGAAGAAACGTCCTTTTAGCTTAAGAGAACCGTCCGCAAAGAGTAACATTGGAAGAATTGATTTGCCCTTCTTATAAGAAAGCCTGTAAACGTACGGTTTTACGGTGAAAGATTTTTTATCAACTATGTTTAACTGAAAATATCGATCGTGTATGGTTCGTCACACTCGAAGATTTCAAGACGGACAGACAAGATTGCAGAAATTGTTAACTTAGTCTTGCCACTAGCTTCTATGTTCAAAAGAGAAAACAACTTGCTCAATTCAAAGCGAATTTTGCTTCACTCCGCGAGTCAGATGTCTGCATAAGAACCTTCGGGAATGCCTGTTAATTACGATTCGTGTGTAAGCCACAAAATCGAGTTGACCCTAAGAGACAGACTGTCCAAGAGTAAAGGGTGTTTTCTATTAAAGTCACAGCCATTAGTTTGATTGGAACCGCCATTTATACCTAAGTGGATTCGTGAGATGTTTGGAGTACTAAAAACCTGAGTTGGGGAATGTTTTTTTATTATTATTATTTATAACCTTGAAGTACTGTAAATTTACAATAAAGCCACTGAACAATATCTGACCTGAAGTGTTGTCAAGACTAACTTGCAGGACTTGATTGATCAACAAATAATTTGTTATCTCAGTTCTTAACTGGCTATTTTTTCAACAGATCCGATCGTGGTATCGACAGCATTCTCGGACAAGAGGTATTTTAAATCACTTGTATTCCGGCTATTAATCGGCAAGATTTTCAGTTTCTAAGTAATTTTTTACAGAATGCATTCGTCGGCGTTTTTGATCAGTCAGTGTTGTTTCTTTTGTAAAAGGCGCGAATCTAGCGGTATTAACCTCTCGAGAGTGTGAACGAACAGTTATTTACTTTATTAGTTTATACATTAGCTGAAGCGAGACTCATTAGTTCATTGACTTCTTTAATTGTAAACTAAGTTGCGTGTGTTGTACCTAACCAGTTAGAACTGCAGATTAAGGTTTTCTAGCCTTCTAGCCCAGCCTGAAACTGAAACCTGTTATCAGCAAATTCGATAATTAACTAATGTGATCGTTTCTTTATATGACTTGTTTTTTCGCAGTCCTATCCTTTGTTGTTGGGTATCGTCAAGAAAGGAGGCCATCTTGGACTTGAGGAGTGTCGAAATCAGTTCAAAAATGAGATCTGGAACTGCACACTGGACAACAAACATGTTTTAAAGGAGTTGCCCATTTTTGTTAAAACAACGCTTCCACACGGTAAAGTCGTTGTCCTTCAACAATTCTTTATTGTCCCATACTTCCATGTCAAAGCGCTAGATCCCTCACATAAAAAAAAAAACATAAAAACTTCGAAGACAACGATTTCAATTTCCAACTTACTTCTTACAGTCTTGGCATTTGTGGCACAAGTTCTCTAGAAGTGTTAAAAAAGATTGGAATGAGAACTAACAGACTGACTTGTTTAATTGTTTTATGTTCACTTATATAAGTCGTTTGCAAGACAATAACACCGAAGATAGTCAATGAGCATTGACTAATCCGGGACAAACTGAACTTCTCAAATGCGCTGAAAGACTAAAAAAGACAGGGAATTTCAAAGTGTTTTTCCATTTCATCTTTTCTGCTCTTCGCTGTAATTCTGAGAAGGCTTAGATGCGCTTAAGACATACTTATAAGGCGTTAATTAGCTAAGAAGTTTCTAAGTGTATACTAATGAGCTGCTATAATGAGATCATCTTGTTTGCTTAACAAAATTATATTTCACGAGCTATCGTGAACGCTGACAAACAACCCTGTATTCCCTGAAAAGCTTCGAAAAAGTTACAACAACTAAATTTTGTCATTTCGAGTCAATTCTTCTGAATTCTAACTTCCTATGGTGTTGATTCGTTGTAGCCACTCGTGAAACAGCTTTCATCCACGCCATTAGCGCTGCCGCCATTACACACGAGATCACGCACCATTGCCGACGGGGCAACATTCCCGGATGTCCGTGCGCCGAGGTCAGGAAACAGCGAAAAAGCAAAGACGATTGGCAATGGGGCGGATGCAGTGATAACGTACGATATGGAGAAAAGGAGACCAAGCGCTTTATAGACAGACTGGAGAAGGGCAATGACGCTCGAACGGCTTTTAACTTGCACAACAATGAAGTGGGAAGAAAGGTGAGGTGACAGAATAACATGAATGTCATTCTCGACAAAAAAAAACGTTCTCTAGATCTGGGGACAAGGATGCATGAACACTTAAAAAAGCGACGTCCCAACATAATTAATACAATTTGCGCATCTTCGTCATTAGTAATCCGTGTTAATCTTCTCCATCCTTAAACATCCTCGTTTCTTTGTGCTTGTGTTTTTCGCTTTCTCAGTAAACTACTATTTTCAGGGTTCTTTCAGTTTGAAGGTAATTTTGTACGTGGCCAAAAATTACTGAAAATAACGTGACTGAGCTCCCCGCGCTCAACGGCCAGGCCCCTAATTACATTACTGAACTGCTAGAGCCTTATGTACCAAGCAGAAATCTTCGATCCTCCTCCAAAAACCTCTTGAAAGTA